ATATATGTGTGTGTGTGTGTGTGTGTGTATTTCTATAATCACTTTATTTTTATTTTCCTAATGCACATTCCTTTTTCTTGTTTGCGCATTCATTTTCTTTCAGTCTTATCTTGTTTCTGATTCTGATGCAAAGGCACAGAACAAGATTAAACAGGACAGGTGTGAGGAGGAGGGAGAACTTAAGGACAAACAACCAGAATCAATTTTCTGTCCAGGAATCAACATACCCACTGATAATAACGCTGTCGTCAAACAGGTAGACTTTGATGTGCTGGACTCCGATGGTCTCGTTGAAGCGCTGAGGGACCAGCAGCCGTAGCAGCCCCCGGAGGTCTGGAGTGTGGTACAGGGAGACCCGCATCTGAGAAGTGAAGTGCTGCACCAACGGCAGCAGCATGGTCCTTGAGTTCATCTGCCCTGCATGTAAAATATAACCACACAAACACAGTGAGCACGGTGCCCTGAGCCAACCCGCAACAAAGACGCGTCTTAGGAAACACAGACAACCTCGTGATCCGCGTGTGTAGTCCAGCAGTATTGAGACTTTTAGCTCAGGTGCATGACTGGAGTCATGCGAACGTTGAAGAGCTTCCTCCATACAGTCCACCTGGACAGAAACAAGGAAAGGATGAACATCAAACCATGACCATCAACAAAATGTGTTTGCATAACATTGTTTTCCCAACAAAGAGAGCAGTGCCAAGTTAATTTTTCAGCTGTAAAATATGATGTTCATTATTTGGCTTGGGTAAAAAAAACGAGGGGATTAAAATCATGATTGTCTGTTTATATTATACATCTAATTTAAAAAATATGTACCTTGTTTAGTTTTTAGAGACTTTATTTTACCTCTGCCTTTTAAAAGTTCGGACTGATTATAGACCAGAGGAACAGTGTGAAACCATTAGAAGGAATATGTAGCCACATGCTTGCATGCATACAGTACATGTGCATGCATCCTTGTGTGCATGCACAGGACAAACAAAACAGGGACCTACAGTACTTGCAATTATATTCCACCACACAGTTACTATTCACTACATAACCATGTAAATTGCCTTGTGTGCTCAAGACAAACATGCTTTCCATTGAATTCAGCTTATTCCCACTGCCTGCACCTGCACTTAAGTCAATATGCCACACTGGTGACTGTCAGTTCAGTTCCTTTTCTGTTGAGCCTGGGTACAGTTGTGTTAGTAGCTCCAGTCTTGAGGGTGAAATCACACCTGCACTTTGCATTCTTCAGTCTCAACTACAGGCCATGCTCACATTTTTGAGTTCAGCTCATTGTGTCCAATTACAAGCAAACCTGGGCTTGAAAATAAATGCCACATGAACTCGCTGCACCTTACTGAATCATATTTCTAGTAATCCATCATCCTGTGAGGTTACAGTGTTTGGCAGCAATCACAGCTGATTCAAAAGCTTTTTACTGTAATTAAGCATGTTTGACTCGTCTCTGCCTTTTTCTGTAATTCACCCTCTCTGCTGCTGCTCGTACCGGTTAGAAAAACATGAAAAACAGATAAATATGAGCGTCAGTCCAGACTGTGGTTTACTCTGGGATAATGTTGTTATGCTAGGCTTTCCAAGCATGAGGAACAGCAGGCTATGCTCTCCTTATACCCACAAAACCCTGCATTCTGGGGTCATTCCTAGTAGCTGGCGTGGAGTCGTTCTGAATAAACCAAACTGCGGTTCTCTTGGAAAAAGACTGTTACTCACATTTTCTGGCAACTCTGACCATTGTTTTGGCACTTGGCTGTGTTTGGATGGCATTGTTCTTACCTGGTTAAATTGTTTAAAACGGTTGTTTCTCCAGAGTTTTAAAATAAATGAATATGCTTCTCACACACACAAACACCACTTTTCTCACCAGCTCCTGCTCCAGCTGACCTGTCCCTAGATACAGTGAGGCCATCACCACTCGCCTCTTCGCAGTCTTGATGCGTGCCTGAGGTCATAGAAAAACAAAGAATCAAAACAATGAGTGTATGCAGGTGAATCGGGTCACAAAGGACTGACACTAAGAAAAGATAAACTCATAAACAGTCGTGTGCACAGGGCATAAGATTTTGGTTCCACCGGGTGGGTCCCAAACAAGCAGGCAATAAATCACTGTTTAAACAACTGCAAGAAAAATGTCCTTGTTTTTTATTAAATGACAAAAATTTTGATCTGAAAGGTCACACAAATCCCCCAGTTATCTAGGCCTGTAAATAGTTCTGGTTTTGACATATCCACCACTGGAATTTCTGCCTTGACCTGAGTACAGCTGAGGTGAGTGAGATTTACACAAAGCTGGCAGTTTATTAGGTACACCAAGCTAAAACTAATGCAGTCTAATCCCACAATAAACCCTCCTTCATGAAGGTGATATGGTTCAGGTTTTTTTGTTTCAGAGAGGTGCTAGCACAGAAGACATAGTTCAGGGCTCTCGACTAACATGTCAAACTGGTGGCACTGGTGCCACAAAGTCTCTCAGATGGTGGCGCTGGTGTCAGATTCGGTGGCACCAACTCTGTTTTACAACATAATGCAGAAAAATCTGTGCGTTTCATAAGTTATTTTAAATAACCTTACTATCCAATGTGCATAGCCTATGTATAAATCAGAGAGAGAGAAACCTATGGAACAAAATAAATGGGAAAATCACTTCTGGAACAAAAACCAAAACTCTAAAACCCAAAGATATTCAATTTACTGGAAGGTAAAAAAAAAAAAAAAGCTGCAGATTCTTACATTTGAGAGGCTGGAACCAAATAAAAGTTTCTCAGTTTTGTTTGAAACAATTACTTTTACAGATTACCAAAACTGATTTCTTGTGGACCAGCTGACTGAAATCCATTCACCTCCACTGTATCAAGATGAAAGAAGAAATCTCAGACTTATCTTAAAACCCGTATAGCTTCATACATAAGTGGAAAAAGCATGCTGTTTTGTAATTTGTGTTTTACCTTGACAGCAATAAAGTCTAAAGTCCTGTTACGTTCCAAAAATATATTTCATCCTGTTTTTTGTGCAGTTGTTAACATGAGTTATAAGAAAGAACACATGAATTCCTTTTCATTGTGCACAAGAGGCCACAAATGTTTTAGAGGACTATAAATGTCAAAGTGTCATCATGATATGTAAAACCACCAAACAGCCTGGCAACAAAAAAAAAACAAAGGACTCAAGTGTGTGTCTCCCAGAAGTGATCTATAAATACCATCATACAACTCCTTTCAGGTACAGTAGAATGTTTCCGGCTTGCAGAATTATGAGGAAGTGTCATTACCATGTTTTAGTGAAGCACACCCATTCACACACATGCTGAAACACACGTGCAACTACAATAAAAAAAAAAATAAAAAAAAACTTTTTGAAACTGTATATGTAAACTTCCATTCTTATGCATTAGTATTTACATTTAGGTCTAACTCTAAGCTCAGCTTTGTATGAAGGAAGCTCCTGCCTCCCTGCCACGACAGCCAGAAATGACTGCTACCGGTTAATTTCCACAAGCAGGTGAAACCTTCATAAGGAATAAGTTGTAACTACAATTACTGTATCTCCTGTCAGCTGCAGAATGCTACTCTGCCAGCTCAGATAAATAATGAAGGTCTGCTGGGAAAGAAATGCTTCCTTAACCTCAAGCAATTTATCTGACTTGCTTGTTGTGTATCTACTGGTATAAAAGTGTGAAACATTAACTTTGGCAGTTGTCAGCCCACAGATGCACGTGACTCAATATTTTGTATTTTTTATCCTTCCTGTGCAGCACAACCAAATAGTTTTTGTCTGTGACACTGACCTTCATGGCTTTGTAGAACTGCTCGGGTGAGTTGAGAATGTGGATGTGGGTGCCTGGCACACGGAATGCAGGTACGTGGTCTGCCATCCATTTGAAGTGGGTGCATAGGCCATCTGTGCCCTGAGCTCCAGCTGACCCTATGGGCCTGGAGACACGGTGGGGGGCTGGGTCGGCTTCGGCCAGCAGGGGAGCCAGCAGCAGTACGGAGGAGCTGCAGGACAAATAGCAAGTGCATTTTTGTGATGGTTTAATCTGAGCTAGTACTCAAAACCTGTTAAATAAATCCTCCTTCATGAAGGTGATAATGTTAAATTTTGTGTTCTGTTTCAGTCAGCTGCTGATAGAAAATTTTGGGTGGGGTAACCAGGCTGGGGCACAGACTCAGAGAGGGGGGGCACATTTGAAAAACATGTAAAAAGTAAACTGAACTCCTAGTCCTATGAATTAATAAACCATACATTGTTTTAAAATCCAACGGCTTGTTCGGTGTAAAAATGAGACACACACTGCTTTTTTGGCTAACTGAGGCTGTGCTCCTGGCTCCAGATATTGCTGCTGCACAGCCCATGAATAAAATGCCAGAAAAGAGTGAAAAACGTCATAGTTCAAGGCCCCATCTTCTGAACAACAGTCCAAAAACCAAAGATACTTCATCGAACCAGCTTAAAAAGGCATTTCAATTAATTGTTGAATTAAATCTTTAAGGACACCGACCCATGATAAGATTTACCAATATGTCTGGTTCTGCTTTGTCCATGTCCTAACATTCACCCCAACACCACAGTCCTCTTTCTCCTTTTTGCCATACAATCTTACATTCTGATCTGACCATGCTGCCACATTAAATAAAGACAGGGTGGAGTGTTAACCTCAAACATGACTAAGACCCACATTTGCTGATTGTCTTAAGTCCTTCTATTGCATTTTTAATACTCACTATGACCTAAATTCATCCAAAATACACAAACATTCACATAGTTTATGTTTGGGCTTGGACTGGCACCACAGAAACCATCTACAAGAAGTCTATTGGAAACAAATAGAAAAAAAAACTGCTTTGTGCTTCTTTCCAAAGGCGCTGTGCTGACTTAGAACTACTACAACAAACACAGACACTGGGGATTTCCCTGTTATTTGTGATCCCAGTCCTATCATTTACACACATTTCAGAAAAGAGCCATAAATCAACAGGGGTATAAAAAAAAAAAGAAATTCCTCCTGTCCATACAGCTTATGCTTAAGTATCTGTCTCCTATTGCACATTATCTAAAGGAGCATAATGAGCCTAACAAAAAGCTTATTCAACATGATGCTTCTCAGCTGAACACACAGCCGCCACAACTTTCTGTAAGTCTTTAAAGAAAGTGTGACAGTGGATAAAGGACACACTTTCTGAAATGATATGACCGAGGTTCTACCTTTTCACTTGAAGACAGCAATGACATTTTTTTTTTTAACTATGACCTCAAGCAACAGTGAGACACAGTAAAAGTCCAATTTGTTTGTTAATCCAAAAGTTGGGTGGAGTTCTGCACACTATATCAACATACTGAGATACAGTCTCTGCAGATGCCTTTTAAAAAGGGATTTTATCTCTGCTGCACATTACAAAGAAACAGTTGATTCCATAGCTGTAACTAAGATGAAGTTAACTTCCTTAGATTTAATACAGTTAAAGGCCGAGTTACTTATGCAAGGCTTTAGCTAGTAACTGATTACTCTGGTATGTGAATAAACCACAACCCTCCTGATATGACGCATGTGATGGGGAACAAAATGTCTTCCTCTTAATTCCTCAAAATTCCCTGAAAGGGAATCACACACGTAATCACAATGCATCCCTACAGGATTTATTTCCTCATTCTTCTCAACGGATGAGATTTGTTGGACAAACTGGAAAAGCTGGTTTTTAATCATTTTTTTTACACTCTACTGTACTTTATACTAACCTTTAAAGATGTAGATGCACACAAGTAATTGACTGTTTGTACAGTACAATTGTAGTGCAATGCTACAAATGTAAAAAAAAAGAGTCTGTATTCTAAAATGACAAGCAGATACACTATATGGCCAAAAGTGTGTGGACATGACCAAATATTACACCCATATGTCCTGTGAACCTGATTGAAGGGATTTACTCCCATTCAGTCACAAGCGCATCAGTGAGGCTGAATACAGATATGGATGATAAGGTCTGGCTCACAGGTGATGGTCCAGCTCATCCCAAAGGTGTTGATGGAGTCAAGGTTAAAAAAAAAAGTTTTTGTGACTTTGTGTACAGCTGCATTGTCATGTTCAAATATGCATGAAAGCATCTTCCTCAAACTGTTGCCAAAACAGAAGACGCACACAGTTGTCTAAACTGTCAATGTGTTGTTGCATTAATTAGAAAAAAACGACACCAAAACAAAAGGAATGGCAGGGGCAGCCATGGTGAAATGAGGGAGGAAACTCAGCAGGACAGATGGTGACAATGATAAGATAAAGATATGCAGATGACAGATTCATGTTTCAGGCTCCGGTTGGTCTCCATGCCCATACTCTGTTTTCATTACAAAAACAAGGACATGACCCAGGAACTGTACCTGACATTAATTTCTCACAGTGTCTGGATTGTGACAGCATCCCAAATAGACCTCAGACAACCTTGGACTGTTCACAGTTAAACATTGGTGAGAACTGTGCCCATGCTTTCCAATGGGCCTTTTTCACAGAAGATCACGAAAGTGTAAATAATAGCATTCAGTTTCAGAGTACTGGAGCCTGAACCATAAAACAACTAACTGAGGCCAAAATTTGCTGTTGCTATTTCTTCAAAATATCTCCAATGAAAACAGTTAACATTGTGATCTGTGGGTGTGGATTTACTACCCGGCCATTATGCAGCTATTTGGTGTGATAAACTATGTTTACATTTGTTAGGAAATGTGTCTTAAAACTGGACTGCTGGGAAACCTGGATGAAACAAGCCCGTCTTTATATTATCAGTTAAAAAGCAAACATCTTTATTTATACAGCACCTTTCCAAACATATGATACAAAGTGCTTCAGAAGGCCAAAATCAACACGCCTCAGCCAAAAGTATCTGCTGTGGAAATGACAACCAACCGATCTTGTTCCATTCAGGCCACAGGTGCCACCACACCTGCACGTTTTCATTATGCTTTAAATTTGGCCGCAGGTGTGCGCACCAGTTCTAATGAGCTACTGGAAGGAAAGCCTGTACCGTCATTATGTGTGACATGATGGAACAATAAAAGTGGGTCTGACAGATGTCAACTGTGGAAAAATAACTGCCAATGTTGAACAAGGGGAAGAGCATTAACATCCCTTTGGTTATGGAAACCTCTACGGTCTCTGAAGGTTCGCCACTGTTTACTTAAGGAACATTGTCGGGAGATACCATGCTAAATTTGACCCCCAGCCACAATAAAACTACCTTAACGTGTTAAAAGATCATGATTTGGCGTTTTGCTTCACACAAGAGCACCGGAAGACAAGTGGCCGATAATGGATGCATTAGCAGTGACTACATTAGCATCCTGATGGCAGATCGAAGTGACACTACAGTTTTACGCTCGTGTCTGCGTCTTCGTGGATGAAACATGATTCTTACCCCTTTCTTCTGTCCCGTGCACGGAAGAGTCGATCAGACATCCGCGTAAAAACTCCAGCAACGGCCGGTGAACACACTGAGTACACAAGCCTCCTCCAGGACATGGGGGCCGCCATTGCTGCAGCACAGAGACTTTGAATAAACTTTATCAACACAAACCTAAGGTCACAGACACGCGGTGGTCTGCAGTGGTTGAACAGAAGTACATTTACTCATGTAGCCTCCTGCTCTGAAGTAAAAATGTAAGGTACTGCACTTGTACTTTGAGTATTTCCTTTTATACTTCTGCTCTACTACAAATAATGTACTTTTGCTATAGGTTTCTATAGCCAGACTATCTGACACCTTTTGCAACTACTTTATAGATGATAATTTTCCATGCAAAACATTTGAAAAGCTCATAAAGTATGATGGCTTGTTAAAGATTAAATTGCCCAACAATATTTACCAGTACATCTGAAACCATTAGTCGATTTGACCAGCACCTAGCCTACTGTAGCTATTTCTGACTATTGTTTGTTTTTTTGTGCAAAAATACAAAATATTTCATGGTTACTGCTTTTCAGATGATAGCATATCATATGCTGACTTTTCTATTAATTATTTCAATGATTTTAATTAACTTTTTGCCTCATTTTTGAGGTTTGAGATGATTGTGATGGTAATTTTCTGAATTTTTACAAACAAATCTTCTTTAATCCATAAAGAAAATTGTCATTTGTTGTGGTTTCTTATAAAATATTTTAAAATGAGCCTCAACCAACTATAACAATAAAATGATGCTTACACATAAATGTATAAATATCTAATAACATAACAGTCAGAGGGTCCATTTTTCTGCAGAACATTTTTATTTTTAATACTTTAAGTAAATTTTCTTGATAAGTAACAATTTCCATGAATTTTTGATTCTGTAAAGGATCTGAGCACTTCCTCCACCAAGGTGTTTTGTGATAGAACATCATAGACTGGTCTGCACACAGCAACATGTTAGATATTATTTTTACCTGCAGATATAATTTTTTTTTAATGCCTGATTATCTTTTGTTGAAGCTATATGGTACTGCAGTTGCAGTACCATATAGCTTCATTTTTGCACTATAATCATATTGAATTTAACCTAAAAATAAATGCGTGCAGACCTCTTTAGAGGTGCACAGCATAGATCAAACATCATGTGGTTCCTAAATGTTTTCTGGAAACAAGTGCTTGATCTTGTCCCTTTGTATTACCTGTCTAAGGTGTGACCTTGGCTCTCACTACAGTCAGTCACATAACTTAAAAATGTTATGTATGTATGTAGGTGTTTCTTCCCAGCCAACATTTGATTTTGTGTTGGCATGAGACTCTGTGCCACATGCACGTTTGTGGTCATATAGTTCAGATGCATTTTAAAAAATGGCAAATGCAATGCATTCTATGCACTATGTTAAACTACTGAACAGTATAAAAAGCATGCCATGAATGATTGTATCACCGCACTGCAATATTAAAATGTTTCAGTCCTAGTTGCACAGCATGGTGTGACTTTATTTTGGAAAGTGCTGTATAAATACAGGTTATTATTATTATTGTTAGACTCAACAGTAGAGCAGCATATGTGGCTGTTGTTCTAGAGCACTTACAGTAAGTTGGATGCTTGCTGACGTGACACGGGGCCTGCCAGCTAGCAGTGTAGTTCAAATATTTATCATCTGTCATGTCATGTAAATGAAGTGAAAAGAAAATGAAAGGGCTTTTAGTTTTAACTTTTGAAGCTTGATCTTCTGGGTAGTTTTATCTTACACCTGGATTTGCTGAGCCTCAGTGTGAGCTTTAAGTTCTGATTCAAACGTGCATTTTACTTCAGCATCATCTGAATATTTTTACATTGTGGTATTGCTACTTTTACTGAAATGAAGAATCAAATTATTTAGTGATCAAATATTTTACCCTTGAAGGTGAGAATATGCAAACATTATGAATCCAGTCGTGCATATGGCATTGTTGGTAAATCCATAGCCAGGGGCCATTTGTTTATAAAACTGTTTTAGTGCATCTGAAAGTTGATGCCATACGTCCTATTAGTAAATGAGAAGTGACAAACTTGCAGCACTTCATATTAATCCTCAACTGGCAATAAATAAATTAATGTAAAAAAAATAAAAATTCAAAAGTGACTGTGTTGCAGTGTGAGGTTGGGGGTGTGATTTAGAATAAAAGATCTGTTGCTGACAATCTGTTGTGGTCACACAGCATATTATATAACAGGCCATATCATATCTTCTTTGTATTACAGTAAATCTAATTTCAGCAACTGTCACTGTTCAAATGATGTTGCTGGTTGATGTGGGAGCAGTACAGGATCATACTTAGTGGGGTTTACATAAGCCTTCAGATGCTATGTCAAGATTCAAAGTTCATTATGGGCCAAATTTGGCCCATGGTTCTGTAGGCTAAATAAGGATGGATTACTAACCAGGCTAACTGGACGCAGGCCCAAGGGCCCCTCTAGGGGGTCCCTAGAGTTCACCTGCAAAATATCCCAGAAAGAAAAAAAAACAGGTGACACAAAACAACCACAAAAAATTCCAAAATGACTACACAGAAATAAAAAGATGTCTGCTAAGAGACACTAAACTTCAAGAAGATGCAACAATGAATACAAAGACACACAAAATAAATATAAAGACATGCAAGAAGGTGGGCGACACAGTGGTACAATGGTTAGCGTTGTCGCCTCCCAATAAGACGTTTCCAGGTTTGAATGTAGAGTGTGCATGTTCTCCTTGTGCCTACATTTTCTCAGGAATCCACAGCTCCCACAGTCCAAAGACATGCAGTCTAGGTTGACTGATTGACTAAGTTACCCAGGGGTGTAAATGCTTGTGTGAGTGGTTGTCTGTCTTTATGGGTCAGCCCTGATAAATTGGCGACCACAAAGACATCTAGAAAGGCTAACAAAACGTGTCCGTTTCAGTCTTGGTGTTTTGCTCCTATGCAGGAGAGCAGGGGGGCCTTTCTACATGTCTGTGCACAGGGGCTCACTGAGTCATAATCCATCCATGGCTATATGTCCATATAGGTGGACTAAACTCCCACCCATATCTGCCTATATTCTGTCCCATATCATATTTTAACAGATTAATACTTTATATTGTGCCATATGTGGCGCTTTGAACTTTATCACCTTGTCGAGAAGAGACCCCACCAGTACCAGGAAACAGCCCAGTAAAGGTCACGCTGATTATTTATTGGCAATCCGCCAAGAAAAAGCGCGAGCACGTGCGTTTGTTCTTTGCGTGTGTGCGTGTGCATGTGTTTACTGGAAGAAGCTCTGTGCAGAGGGGGCGGAGCCTTACGGCTTTACTCACTGGAAACAACCTCCAGTAACCTCCTCCACACACGGACAGACGCTCTCCGGCAATATTTCGCCGCCGCCACATTCCTCCGCTCAGGAAACAAACCCACACACTTTTTGGATACTTTTTTGGATTTTAATGCCTGAGTTAATAATTCATCTAGCACTACTCTCGAGTAGTTTGCATGTTTTTTTATTTGGCGACGAACGGCTGCGGTGCGGGACTGAATATATCCGCAAGGTAAGTTTAAAAAAAAAAGACTGAAAAGACACCTAAAGCGGCTGGTTAGACATCATCCAAGTTGAAACAATGACAGAGAAGATGGGTTACAGTGCAGGCTGAAGCACAGCAGTTCAGGCTTTTGTTGCAGTGCAGCTGAGCTGAGGAAGTGTGATTTTGGGGGGGGGGGGTTTTCATAATGGGGGTGGG